CAATGCACATATCTCCCTTTAGTCCTTCATATTCTACGTTAACATTACCCTAAAAATAACAGAATCCGTGCATCGCACGGGCCAAAGCTAGTATTTTGTAAAAGCCACAATTTTCAACATGTACTCTGACATGAGAATTATTTATTTATTCCCACCAAACTTAGCATGCACATAATTTCATTTAAATGAGTGACGGCGTGACTTAAACTCTCGACATTTACTTAGTCTGATATTATGTTAAAATTTGAAGTTCAATATTAAAATATCAACCTCAGTTTACCTCAATAGATTGGATTGAACATCAAATAAACATTTCATTTGTAATCTTTCATCTTCAGTTTCGTTATTTTCAATATATGATGACATGAATGCTTGTTTCATTCAATTCTTTGCATTAGCACCTCGCAAGACCTAAATTACAAGTAAAATAAAGAAATTAGTATATTTTTCCAATTATAAACTTGTTTTCTATTTTTCTGATATATATCTCATATTTCTCAAAAACAGAGGATTAATTTTTGTATTTCAAAAATGTTATTGAAAATGCAAATGAGAATATGGATAAAAACTGAAAAATGCACTCCATTTCATCTCACATTGTCTCTAATGTTATCACTTTTTCAAGGACACAAATAAGGGGTTGACGAGCAAAGTGTCACAATTATAACCAAATCAATATCAAAGTCTCTTATATGATCTATGTACAACTTTATTGTTTTAAAAGGTCAAAACTTCGACAAATAACTCTCTCAAGTCTCTTCAAATGTATCCGAAAAATCATTGAAACATACTAAAGACGATTTTTCACTGGCACACTGCCTGTTGACTGAAATCAAGTGTTAGGTTTAGGTATTTGAATGAAGTAATTCTCATTGATTTATGATACACTATACATTGGTATTTATAATACATATGAGATTAGCTATAATAGGAAACAAACTAATCTAGGAATGAATATATACAATATATGTGACAAAGGAAATAATATCTCTAAATATGGTAATACGCCCCCCCCCTCCTCCCTCAAGTTGGAGCATGAAGGTCCGTAATGCCCAACTTGTGAGTGAAATGGTGAAATAGATCCTTCCCAAGAGCCTTGGTGAGAATGTCAGCCAGTTGGAGCTTCGAGGAGACATGTGTAGGAATAATGAGCCCAGATACAAATTTCTCGCGCACAAAATGGTAATAAATTTCAATATGTTTAGTGCGTTCATGAAGAGTGTCGTGTTCTGCAAAAAAATCCTGAGTGGTGCGAGCGAGAAATTCTTGGCCATTGTCAATACGTATGTGACGTATGTTAGAATTAAATTGAGTGCGAATCATAGCAAAAAAAGCACGAAGACTTGTCAATGTTTCAGATTTGAAATGCATTAAGTATAGCCATGTGAACCAGTGTACTCATTGACTATGGTTAAAAAATAATGAGCACCAGAGAGAGAAATAATATGGTAACCACCCCAAATATCACGAAAAATGCATTCAAAAGGCATCAAACTCTTATTCGAGGGGGCATGAGGCCAGCATCGCCGAGCAAGTTGTCTATGATGACTTCTACTCCATTAAGGGGGACGGATAGTCCGACGAGAATAAGAAATGGAGCAGGGAACGTGTCAAGTGATAATAATGTGAGCAGTATGTTGTCAATGATGAGCTTTGTCACTGATGCGTGGCGAGGAAAGTTGGAGGAGAGTCGGATTTTTGATGCACATGACCTGAGGCTACTGTATAACCGGCAGTTGCAGTGGGGATTTGTGAATGCAAGAGCTGAGAAATCGCTGTTAGTACAGAAAGTAATGGCAGAGGTATTAATTTTCCCCCAGTTGTTTTTGCCATTTAATGAAATCGAAGATAATCGACTTACTGGTTATATTGTCTTTTGGGAGTATCGTGCACTATATCTATTGTTTGCTCCCTATCCTGCTAAGGCTTATATTATGATATTGGAAATGTCAAAAGGAAAGTATGGTTGGAAAAAAATGGCTAAAGGTTTTTTGGTAGACTTGTTTCTAACTCAATAATGAGGCCTAGTTCTAGTTGCTTCTTACATAATTGTACACAGTACTTCGCTTCAGGGTTAGTGCAAATGTGGCGAGTCTAACCCACAAGAAGTAACAACAAAATTGTTTCCAAGGCTTCCACTTAAGCGTGCGGCTGGTTCTGTTTACATCATTCCACAAATCAGATATAAAGTTGGTAGATAATCTTCTATCCCTACACAGCACATGGAATTTTCATAGTGCTGAAGCCTTCTCTGGCTCCTGATTGTAGCATACCATGTCCTTGAACACGAAAATGAATATAGTACGACTCATAGATTCATACTGTCTCATTTTTTATAATGTTCTTGGGAGGGGATACACGTATCTTTTAATTGCTTTTATTGCTCTTTCTGTCAGGTTTAAAGTAATCATTCTAAACCTTTTGATGTTTGTTTACAATTTATTGGCTGTTAATGTGGACCTCTCCCTTTCCCCATGGACACACACAAATACAGCACAGGCCAGGAGGTTTCTATTTTTAATATTGAGTAGCTTTCTTCTAAACCTTTTACAAAACTCGAGCCTTCAGCTACAGTAGCTTTGCAGTTTCATTTTTCATTGTAGTTGTTCCTCGTGGTTTCATATCAATGAAATTTTTCTTTCTGCGCAGAAATGGATGGGAATTCATGTTGATCAGTAGAGGCTTATATTTATACTTGACTCTGACTCACAGGGAATGAGAGATGAGTTTTAATTCCAGGGTGTTTATGTGGGAAATTTTACGATTTGAGTAAATGAGGAAATGAGTTAAATAATTTTTTATTATGCAAATGAATGACAGTCGGGTTGAGATGGATCAGCTATTAACCAAATTTAGGCTGTTTCCAGTAGTCATTGGCCTGTTGCTGGATATATCTTACACATATTTGTTTGGGAAAAAGATAAAACCAGGGAGTTTTATTTTAAGTTGATCAAAGACAAGACATGCCTTTCAAGTCAAATTAGGTCTTCCTTGTATGGAGTCTATGGTCTGACAATAATACTTGCACTTCTTTATACAGACACATTTTGCTTTTCACTTGATGATTGATATGCACAATGCCCTCACTCTTTGTTGTCTGCCGACACTACCGCCTCCTTATCTTATATCTTTCTATGGTGCTAGATTCCAGGGATGATACTTATTTCACTGAAAAGTTACTTTGTTCTTTTTGATTTGTTAGTAATTTGATTTTTTGAATGGAGTATTCAGTGCAAAAGAATTTTCATTTGTATGTTCTCATTACACCAGAGAAGTCTATATAATGCATCGATATCTACTACCAAATTGCGGCTTTCTGTCAAGTCCAAGAGAATTGAATTACAATTGTTGAGACATAATCTGAAGCTATATTCCATCCTTAAAGGACAGGTGAGACTGTTTTTCTCTAATGACTCTTCTCTAATATCGCTCTAGAGCTCAAATTCAGTATCTCTATTATTTGCCTAGGAGTACATTTTATATTTTCCAGATTCAAACAAGTTGAACTCTGTTGGGAATTATTTCTTAAATACTATAAGGCATATATGTCACTTTCTCTAAACAAATTTTCAAGGTCTGATTTGATCTATTGTGCATATATGCGAATTAGTTACTATAAGGCAAAGTATCATTCAAATTAAATTCTTTTTAAGTGGGTGTTGCTGGTGATGCATATATTGGACTGCTGTAGTATTATATTNATATTGTCTTTCAGTTCCTTCATAGTCTGTTAAAGATCTCTGTCTCTTCATGTGCATGTGTGTGAATTGGGATTGCTCCACATCCCCTCACCCCACCCCAGACTTATGTCGAATAATCTTTCTTCACAATCTGTATTTGACTTTAAATATATATTTAAGTAATGGATTCAAGATACATATACTGGCAATATGGTCGACAATTATTGAGTATTTAGTCGTCTTTGTTGAATGCAGGAACCATATTTACGAAATTGGGATCTAATCGATGTGGATCACAGCAATGCAGTATCTGGTGCTATAAAGGCATTAGAAGCAAGCATTATACGCCTTCCTGTTGTTGGTGGTGCTAGGGTATGCTGGTGCTATTTCCTAACAACTATGATATTTCAGTTGTTGCCGCTTGTCTAATTTACTATGTACAGGACTTACAAGAGCTGTCTATTTCCTTTCTGGGTTTCTGTAAGTGCAGGCTAATGTGCAAAATGTGGAAGAGGCTATTTCTTCAGCTGTTGATGTGATGCAAGCAATGGCACCTTCAATATGCTCTTTGTTAACTAAGGTGGTTGCTCTTCTAAATTGGATAAACAACAAATGTGAATTTAGTCTTTTCTTAAGTAATCTGGCAGATTTTTAGGGTCTGTATTGAACCTCCAAGAATTCCTCCGGGCCAAAATTTGAAGAAGGTTGAACCAGTTCTCTTCACTTGTCACAGTTGCCAAACTTAAAGTAAATTAGTTCCGACGTGTTCTCACAAAAATTGGTTTCGAGCTTTTCGAATGCTAAGTGCTACATTGGACTTCTTCTCAAAATTTGTCTAGTATAGATCTCAGCATGACATCAATGGTGTTGTTGCAAATTGCACCAAAACATTATCCTCAAAGTTGATAACTGCTGAAACTATACGTCATCATCATTCTGTTGTATCTTATTTGCATTCTATAAGAAAACACAAGTATTTGTGATTCCACTTCAGGCATGTTCTCTTTAAACATCTGTCATTATCAGTTCCCACTTTGATAGTGTTCCAACTTACATCAAGACATTTAATTTGAAACTCAGAAGTAATTTTTTTTTTGAACACTTAAAAACTTTTTCTTCAAAGATGGAAAGGTCTTATATTAATATTACTTGGTTATGCATTTGAAAAGTCATGGATGTGCAACATGCACTGTGAGCTAAACTTAATTGATGTTGTCTTAACTAGGACTAGAGATATCTTTGCTTTTAGGTTCAGGTTTAGTTATTTTCATCTTATGGTTAACGTGGCACTTAGACTTTATGAAGACAATGCTTAACTTTTTCTTTCCTCCACTTCATCAAAGAGAAATAAATTTTCTGATAACAATACGTGGTGGTTGTATGCCATTGAAAATCTCATAGCAAAGTTTGGACCTCAAAGCCACTTGTCATAGCATTTGAAAAATGTTTCCATGTACAGATATATATCTCCAGTTGCACTAAAATGCAGTGTCCACTGGTGGATTCAAAAATTGGTGATAACCGATGATGTGATTCTGATCAAAAGGAAAACAGTGTATTAAATTGAATACATATTTTGATGTTGTTAACTAGAACTAAGATCGATGAGCCCATAGGATCGAGATTTTTCCTTTTTTTTTTTTTTGAGGTAATGGAACCTTAGTAACTGCTTTACTATCCATTTAACCCTTTTGTTTTATTTCTATTGAATTATTTGCACCCACAGGTTGAGCTAATGAACTTTTTGGTTTCTGAACTTGCCAACTTAAGTGCAAGAGTGCACAGTTCACTTGATGAATGCAAAGATACTTTGTCAATAAGATTCTTACCCTTGCAGGTAAAAATGTGCTTCAATGCTACCGGTTACTTTTTATTTAACCACTTAAAGTGCGAAAAATATAGACTTTGAGCATGTTTGGATAAGATTTACTTATAACTAATTTTATAAGTGAATACTAAATACGTCAGTTTTGATTAAATTTTTTATTTGTCCACAGAAATAAGTTACTCATTTAGACATTAAAGTGAGAGTCTTTCAAAACGAATAACTTTTTTTCACTTAAGAAAAACTCAACTCATTTGGGAATAAATAAGTTAGTTACAAATATATTTTACTTGTATCATAGCTAAGCCAAACATGCTGGGCATGAGTTTGCATTTGAAGCCAGTGGTTTCTGTAGAAAATTCTGTGCAGCACTAACACAAGTTGTCATACCAGGTGATACATTGTAGCCTGAGGACCCAATTATTACAATTACAACGTGTACATGCGATATCGACAAAGAAAGTTTAAAGGTTATCCCATTTTTACTGCTTACCTGAAATACTGACATCTTCAATAGACTAGTTTGTTTCCAGTACCAAGAAAGAGCTGGTCGGAAACGTGTTTCATACTTGTTTTGGATCGAAAAGGCACAGAATGGCTGGCCTCCTTAAGGATTCATATAAAGCATATCCAAAATGTATTTTTTATGCACATATGGTAGGGACAGTCTTATTTCTTAACAGCAAATTTAGATTGTATACAGGGCTTATTTCTATAGTTTTCAGTTACATGTGAAACTCATCTAGTAAGATTTCCAAGTTTCATCATAGGAGGGTGATACTTGCAAAGTTATATTTTTTAAGAGCTATTAGTGAAATATTAGCGAGATTGTACAGAATGCTGAAGCAATGAAATGTTATGTAATTTGGTTTCCAAACACTTACAACTTAGAGGCCCGGATTAAAAAAAAAAATCGGATATGATGCAGCCACGCAGACTGCTCATCTAGGCAAAGGGCATGCCTAGGTCGGCTCATGAGCCGACGATGAGCTCGACTTACAAGCAAGCAGCTCGTGAGCTATTGGCTCATGTCCACAGCTTGGCTCAAGGGTGAGGTGAGTCGACAAGTTGCTCATCCCTCTTAATATGCATGAGCACATTCCTAATCATGAGAATGATATTCGATTCGTGCTCTCAGTATGATATAATTCTCAAAGTTCACGCATTCTCTTACTATCTGAGTTCATTCATCTTTTACCTTTTGAGTCATGAATCCCACTACTGTATATAGAATGAGCTTAAA